TTAAATATATGAATTGTTTTCATTTCCTACTGTATAAAGTATGCTTTATTCGATCCTTATAGGAAACTGCGGAAAATTAAAATATAAAAAATTTTTACATATTTTAAATATTTTTATAATAAAAATATATTTTAAATATTTCCTATAATAAAAATATATTTTAAATATTTCCTATAATAAAAAATATATTTTAAATATTTCCTATAAAAAAAAATATTTTAAAAAAATAAAAAAAAAATTTTAAATATTTCCTATAATAAAAAAAATATATATATATATATATATATATATATATATATATATATATATATATGTGTGTGTGTGTGTGTGTGATCCACATACATACAATTTTACTGTATCATAGCTCCTTAGTGTGGCTAGACTTCTCCGATTACTTCCAGCCGGGATTGAAACCAGACTGATTTGACATCGCACGGCAGAAAGAAAGAGAATTTTTAACGTTTTTCTCGATACGAAATACGCCAGCGGCTCGGAGAAGAGTAATATATATATATATATATATATATATATATATATATATATATATATATATATATATATATATATACACACACACAGCAATATACTTGAACAAAATAAACTTCGGACAGTTTATCAATAATTTCGATCCCAATACGGCTCCATGATTTCCAGAAAACTTTAATCTTGGAAAGGTTAATATCAATCCCTTTCTACTGATTAATCTCCTTTTGTTCTTTCTCCTTAGTGAAATTTATGTGTTCTAATTCTTCCATATCCAGTAACCACTTGTCTTAGTGGCTTTATCGCCTTGTTTGAGGTCTAATCGATTAAAAAAAAATCTTCACTGCCATATTGAATATTCGAATAAACATAGCAGTTCAGAAGAATTTTTTTTGTAATAATATAAAATTTTTTAAATTTGTTTTAATTTTCTCAAAAGAAACTTTTGCTATTCCTGTACGCCATCGTAATTGTTCTTCAAGCTTTTTATCGTCTCCTACTTCCCAACCCAGAGAGTTAAAACGTTATACTTGCTCGATTATGACGTACCTAGTGCGTCACTTATATCGTGGGCTAACTCTTTTGTTGAAAAGCATGCATTCTATCTTCTTAGAGTTAATGATTCTTCTTCTGTATGCTACCCCTTTAGGAAGTTGGTTCTCCAAAGTTTTCAGTTCTTTCAAGCTCCTAATAAATTCTGCTTTTTTGTTATCTCTCTGAAATCCTGTTCTGCCATCAATTTACACAAGTTGTGAGAAACAGCGTATCATCGAGATCGAATTATTTAACGGCGACAACAGTAAAAATGCTGTTACCAGCGAAACCGATTTGGCACTTGGCTGTCTGGTCGCTTACGATTAATTCCTTGATTATCTGGATTTGAAATGAAGAGGAAAAAAAGGCATTCGGCCATTTTTAACTTACCCCAACTAAAACGACTCTAAAATTTAATCTCAAATAAGCATTTTGAGAATTTAGAAAACTATACTCAACTTTTGGTAAAAACGCTAATAAAAATCATTTCAATTCATGCTTGATTATTTTCTCGCTGTTTTCGTACAAAGAAAATAAATTTCAATTATCACTGCTTGGTTACGACGACAATTATGTCTTACCCTACTATCGGACAGGGTATGAATAACGAAGTTTCCAGGATATTTTTGAACTCATAACTGCATAGAAAATGTTCAAGTCGAGTCGGATAATATTTTCCCTGTCGAAATTCAACAGCTTCAATCCGGAGTTTCAAACACCGAAGAAATTATTATATTTGATAAATTTCGGTTGCGTTTACAACCAAAAGCTATCCTTACAAATAAATCTACCTTAATCCAGTTCCGGGAGTTAGCAGAGAAAAATCTAGTTACCAGCTGAAAAAAAAAAAATTAACTTAAAAAAGAAACATTAACAAAAACTTGAACAAAACGTTTTAAAATTTATATTTGACTGTAAAAGTGAAGATCACTTACTTCGTGTGGCGAAGCGAGCATGTATATGCCTGGCGGGCAAAACGAGTGAAGGAAAGGAAAGGGAAAAGAAATATGGCCGCTGCGACAACTTAATTTAAGAAAGACACGGTCTCGGAACTATGAGAATTGGCGAGAGTGGTTGGGCGTATGCAAATTTTTTTCGAGATCAACTCGGCCTAAAAAAAGCACCACACGAGAGATTTGACAGTTTGCTTGTGAACGTGGTGCTGTTTGTACGGTAGACTTTGTCAATTGGAAAGAGATTGCTTGGGTCAGCTTCACACATTGACGATATGTATCTTTGTTGATTTTTTTTTTTTTTTTCACCAGAAAGATACTCGTAGGAATTCAATTATCCGAAATGTTCTATTATTCAAATACATTTTTTCAACGCTTGTCCCAAAGTATCTGGGCAATTATCGAAGTACTGTACTGGATTTAATTTCCAGAATTATATAATGGAATTTTTCACTAAACGTTCGAAGCACAAGCTAACCAAAAATCAAGACCAAAAAATAGTCGCGAGAATAAAATTAAGACTACCAATTTATGAATTTATCATTTCCCAAAACTTAGAATTTCTTCCCCGTAAATTTTTTTCGCTTTAAACTTGTCTTTTATCTTTCGAAACCTGTTCGTACGGCTCGAGAACAATCAGGCTTTTATTTTAAATCACGATCCCAACAGAGCTGAGAAGTTTCAATAAGTAAGACATACAAATAAAATATTTGTGGTGAAAATAAAAATTCTTCCAATGAACTCAAGAAAGCATAACCTATTTGATTAATTTGCATCCCGTATTCCTCTTGAAAAAGCAACGCTCCCGGCACTTTCACTGATTCAGGTACAAAAATATTGGCTTTTACTAAAATGATAGTTTCTTTCTTATGAATTTATACGTAAGAACTCAAATTGTTTAGAAGAACAAAAGCTGCTTTCACTCATTCATAACCACGGAGATAAACTAGAAAAAAAAGAATCCGCCGATCAATATATATTTTTTTAAACAAACAGAAAAAAAACCCCGTTAAGTCACCCCAAATAATGTAAACTTACTTATCGCAAACATTAATTCACGCTAAGAAACTAAATCGAAATTTGTTTAGCTTGCCTGGAAACATCAACCTTCAGAATAAAAAAAAATTCTGAAAAATTACGGAGTTATTCCTATTTCTAAAGGATTATTTCGGATTATGTTCGGGGTAATTACAAGGAATTTTTTTTAACGAGAAAAAAAAACCCAGAAAAACTGAGTCGCCACATTTTTTCAAATATTAGATAACGATCACGAAACGTCTATGAATGAAATTTAAACACATGATCACGTCATATAAATTACAGAATGATGTGGCTTCGACAATGAAATATGCGTCGAAAGCTATTCTCCACCTTTCTTTTTTTTTTGTGTATAATCGGATGGTCAAGCGATTTTAAACAAAGAAATCTATCTTACACGACTCGGATATGACCGAATGATCCCTTGCTTTTCCTCTCCCTAATCGACACCTGAATAAACAGATGAATCATTAAACAAGACATTTCCACATCATTTTTCATTATATTCTTCTTAGTGTCACAACGGTTTCAGAATACATCAAACTTTTATATTACAAATTAAATATTAAAGTATTCGACAAGGCTGCGTTGACGAGTGACGATTTTTTGACTGTGCATAAGATTTTAGAAGCAAAAATTATATGTATAGTAGTTATGTAACTTGGCACTGCAATATCAATTGTCAATTGCACTCAGTCGATATGTATTCAATTTAGGCTGATCACGAGTGTAGAGCACCCAGTGATGATTGTCTCTAAGAATGACATTTTCTATCAGAGGAGATTGCTCATTAATATTCCAGAGTTGAGAAACATGTTGTTGTTGGAGGAGGAGTCGTTATTACCATAACAGAAAATTTCATGGTTTTCTTATTTTAATTTTCAGATGAATCTTAATACTTAAGTTAATGATTGAATAAGATCATGATGAGATCGATGAAAATAAAATATTGATAGTAATTTTCCTATCGCGACGTGAAATATGTGAGCTTAACAACTTCAACAAAATATTGCAATAACAATCACATGTATGCTAGTCGTTATTTTAAGAAGTGGGTACAAATGAAAACATTTAAAAACTGATAACTTTTTCCATTTCATTGAAATTGACGTCAAACACATCCATCTTTACTTCTTTCATTCTTTTTCTCACTGAAACCGAGTAGCGTATGTTGTTTGCCCACGCAATCAAAACGGAATAGTTCATTATTTATGAAGTATTAACAAGAAACGTTAAACATTCCTATTTTCCCTCCTTTTCAGCCAAATCCCCATTTTAGGAAAATTTCTGTTAATAATACTTTAAAAATAATTCAGTAGACGATATTTTTTTTTTTATTTATGGTAACTAGACTTTTGGCGATTACCGGAAACCTCAGTTTCCATCGTTCGATACAATATAACGTCGGAAAAAAAAAAAAAGCCGATTTTATCGGCGGCCAATGTTTCTCGGCCTTCTGTCTAAGATCAACGTATAGATTCTATCTTCCCGTCTTCCATTATTTTTCTTACTGAAACCAAGTAGTATCTTTCCCCCTTTTTCACGCGATCAAAACAGAACAGTCCATTATTTATGACCAGGGTGTAACGATCGTACAAACTAATAATAAATAATAATAATAATAATAATAATAATAATAATCTAAAAATATGGGACGTGAGGATATAAAAAAATTCCAGTTGTAGTTGGAGCCCTCGCTTTGATTGGAAAACTTTCCGATAGACTCATTGAAAGGTTTCCTAGTAGCCCAAACAAAGAAATACAAAAATTGTACTTACAAGTGTAGCTTACATTTACGAAGGGGTTTATCTATGTAAAATATGTGCGATGTTAGATTTTATTTTAAAAAAAAAAAAAAAAAAAAAAAAAATGGTCAGTAGAAAATGTCATGACACCATTTTTGACCTTAGGTCTCTGGTTAGTACCCTGAAAGAAATGAGTATACTATAATAATAATAATAATAATAATAATAGAGAGTTTAATATACTCACCTCTGTAGATTTGAACGAAATCTTTGTGACAACCAAGACTGTATTCAATATCAACCCTCTGCCAGTCAACTTGTAAGGAATAATTCGGATCACCAGCATAAATAAGCCAGCCACAGGACATGTTCCTAAAAGAAAAGTTTTAAACGAAATTTATTTATATTATCTTTATGATTGAAACGAAGTAATTCCTTTTTTTATGTCTTCAACATTTTAGGGTTTTCGATTGCCGTACAAATTCTCGTCTCTTTAATTTTATAAGTTGTCAAATCCACCGTTTTTCATCTGAACAAACTCAATCAGTATGCTTGAAGAAGCTCCAAAATTTGCGATGATGAATTACGCCTCCAGGTGGCGATTCACTACTTTTAACATTTTGGAAATTACACTGATAGTTTTTACGTTTTTTTTTCTTTTTTTTTTTCTCGTGTCTTCTTTTGAATTTATTTAACACGGTTGGCATATTTTTTTTGCTACCTTTGACACATATAATAGGCTTCAAGCGAGAATTAAGTGCTTTTTGCATCACCAAAGGTATTTAACACCGTAAAATAAGCGATATCACTTTAGGCGATCATGATTCTCCAAACATCCCTTTTTTCTAATTATCAGTGAATTCGCATGCATTTTGCAGAAAGTGGAGAGCATTCTCCATGGTTTAGAATTCGGTGATTTCCCACTTTTAGAATTGATGCCAGCCAAGATTTCTAGCCCATTTCATTAACGCCAGTATGTATTTTTATGTTTAACGTTCTTTTTATAGATACAAGTATTTAAGTAAATGTTCTGTTTATAATAAACAGTATTAAATAACATTTACCGGCCTGAATGTCCTTTGACAGGCTTTCATCAAAAAATATTTTCTATGAAAATTTCATCGACATTCAGGCCGGTAAATGTTATTTAATACTGTTTATTATAAACAGAGCATTTACTTAAATACTTGTATCTATAAAAAAGAACGTTAAACATAAAAATGTATTTAATAAATATATATATGTGTGTGTGTTTTGAACACTAAAAATATTTTTAAAAAAATACAATTTTCAGACGCACTTGATTGTTTAATATTTTTGTTTTATTATTTCAATTAGGTTCCTCAACTACTTTCGGTCAGCATGGTCATCATCAGGAGAGAAAAAAAGCCCTGCTTGTTATTCAGGAGTGAATGACTGTTTCTGAAGAAAGTGAACTTTGTAGTTTTCATTTGCTTTTTTTATCGTTAATTTGGATCAGTCCTTGTGTTAGACAAATGGCCTCTTTCAAGTTGCTTTTAAGATAGAAGATCGGAGACTAAGAATTCCTCACTTGATTATTTTGACAGTTTTATCGGTTGCTGAGAATGGTATGTGTGTGTTAAGTGAATGTTACCTTTTATTTCTTTGGGAATATGCGTAATGCGTGTATGTGTATATTTAAGTATGAGTGTGTGTATAAGTTTGAGACCTCAACACCATGTTTGGGTGAGAAATGTGGGCAGGGCTTAATTTATGGGGTTATATATTAATTCTGTGTTGTTAAATTTGTGGATGAACATATCAGCACCAACTATTTTAAGGCGCAAAATCCATTTGGCTTCATGTTCCTCTAGTATTTTTCTAAGGTTATCTTTTCTGTATTTCTATTTTTCAATTATATTGAATTTTGCAAGGCTTTTAAAATCATATTTTTCTAGATGAAAATGTTTTTCTACAGGTAATAATCTTTTGTGAGAAGCCGACATGATCCCATTACGATAATTATTAATTTTTCCACATTATTTCTGCACAGTGTGCCATCTAATAGGTAAATTATGTTATGACTTCTAAAGTTAGAGTTGTGGTAGAGTTTGAAAGTAGATTTAGTGACTGAGGTAGTGAACTAATTGGTACGTCTAATGTGGTTACAACATAGGCTCCTTTTGGTGTTACATGGTTCGGAAAATTCTGTTGATTTTATTTTTGGTCTATTACGGGTTACCTTAACTGAAAGTTGGTTACTACCTATAATTTCCTTAAGTTTCTTGGGTCTACGATATGCGAGAATGCATTTTTGTTGAATGGAAAGCATGGACCCGGAAGACAGTTTGATATGATATGATTTGTTTGTTTAACGGCTTATCAACACATTATGGGTCATGTAATGCTGAAATTTAATGTTTTGGGAAGCTTTGAAGTATTATAAATATGATATATGTTACTTTGCTTTCACAACAGAATACATGGTAGATGATATCATCTGCGCATGTGCATGTTTGTGTGGACATAATTACTTGAGGTGGAGATATATGTTGTAGTTTTGTTGAAGTTATATTTTGGAATACGGTTTGATTTCTTTAAGAAATTGTAGGATAGTATATGGATTAATGTCATGAAAGAGTTCTTTAATGTTGCCCGATGTACTGTTGGTAATTTTTTTATAGAAAAATATATTGCTGTTATCTAAATGATAAAAATGTATCTTTATATTTTCATCGTGTTTTGTTGTTTGGGTGTTTACTATTTGCTCATAGCTGGGACCTAACAGGTGCTGTTACCCCAGGTCACAGTGGTCGTGGGGACAAGAACAGTAGTCAAAACCTTCAATCTCCCGATCAGAGACCTTGCTGTCGGAGGTATTTTATCGTCACAACCAGGACTACAAAAGAGGTTTCCACAAGCGAGAAGTAAGAGAAAAAAAACTGCTAGCATAAAAAATACTTGTACTTTATTTACTGTATACAAACTGAAGTAATGTAAAGAATATAGCTCAGAGTTTGTTTTTTTTAATGACAGTCGTATTCTTGTACGGTGTAAACATTTAGATATAATATAGAAATGTTACAAATGGTGCAAAACAGACTTAAAAGTTATCGGAAGCTGATTGATGGAGAAACAAATTACACGCGTAGTTGGCCTGAAATAGCGGTCAGATATAACAACTTGTTTAGCGACTAGTTCGCTGAAATATTTGTATTCAGTTATTTCTAGAAAATATATTTAGGAGTAAGAACTGGAAAAAACTTTCCAAGCAGATTTATTTAACTTCAAATAGTTTTTTTTTATTTTTTGGTGGGGGGGGGAGGTTCGAGGAACCATTTTCCAACAAATACTTTGCATAGTCAATTTAAGATATTAAACATTAAATGTTTCCAGAGACGTGTGAATAAGCCGAATGCTTCAAAAGAAAAAATATATATATATATATATATATATATATATATATATATATATATATATATATACACGTATAACAATTCCGAGTGAAGCAATGAAAAGAAAAAAAAATCAAGTATTCAAACGAGTACCTTTTAGAGTCAAAAGCAAATATACTTATAAATATATCAACTGACGTAAGTTAATCTTATTTTTCCTTTCAGAATGTCATATTAAAGGCTTCTTGCGTAGACTTAAAATCCTTGCATTATAGGTAATGACATATGATATATACAAGCAGATGAAAGCACCGAGAGGAAAAATATTCACGTCAAGAAGTCAAATAAATCGTATCTTTTCGGCACAGTCTGATTTCTCAACGTCAACATAGAGAGCTTATAGAGAGAACCACACCTAGCGTCTGATGATTTCGATTCGCACTGGGTTTTCATTAACAATTATAGTCATTTATTCATCTTCTATGTGAAATGACCCTTCAGACGATCATAATTCTCCTGTGGTTTGTAGCTCAGTAAAACTGTCTTTTTACCATCACCCCCAAACCCCGTTCTGCTAACCACAAGCTGATTAGGTCCGTTATGCGCATTTTTGTTTCCTCTGTCCCGCTTGACTGTGAGTGTAAAATTTGCTAAACCTTCTTTCCTCATCATGTACCACAGACATTTCTCAATTGTCTCCTTATGCTACTGTCCTTTTTTTCTTTCTATTATCTATAAAACTTCATCATTGATCACATGTTTAGTCCATGGTATTATCAGCATTCCTTCTGTAGAGCCAAATTTCCGTTGCTTCAAGTTTCATTTTATCTTTGAGGAAATTGTTCAGCATTTATTATCATATCGGAGGACCGATATATACGTAACAGTGAAGCTCGCTTTTCTTTGTTTCTAACGCAATTTTCCTGTTTCTAAATACTTTGCTCAGCTTTTGGAAGGCATGAGCTTAATCTTACAAATACCTACCCGACTCCAGTCAGTCAATTGTAATAAAAAAAAAAAAAATCTACACGTTGTAAAATGAATCTTGTTGAGCAATTAAACACCCGATATTATTCTGAGGTGTCTGAACAACCAACAAAATATTTTTTTCATTATTTTATACTAAGTGGCAACTCCAAATTATCAAGCAACCTTCTGAATAATTGTCAAGTAACTACAACGAGTTTTTGGTTTTAGTCATGACATTTGTGCGAATTACAAGCGCGTTCGATTGATCGCGAATCCCATGACCCATTAGGGTCATGGGGCCCCCCAGATGTACTACAGCCGCAGAAGTAGTGTCTATTCGGCAAGATAGCCCGATGGAGCTGGTTTTGAATTTACAGTTTCTTTCTCCGAGGCCTGTTGCCACCCAGTCTGTAGCACGGGGGAGGGAAAAAGAGTATACAAACTCCACCGTGCCTCCGTAAATTATATGCACGTGACTATAAACAGACTGAAATAATAGCCTTTCCCAAAAATTGCTACTTGTGGAATATACTCCCGAGTGGTTGCTTCCTCTAACACTCGCATGGCTTGTTTCTCTATTGTTATGTCGTTAAAGATGCAGGTAAAATGGTCGACTCCATGTACCGCTACACTAAGTACCTGACTCCTCGTGCTATCTGCTACCTTTACAAGAGCCAAATGATGCCAAAAATGGAGTACTACTGTTATATGTGGACGGGAGCTACCCAGTCCTCACTTTCCAGTCTCGATTGACTTCAAAAGCGTCTCCTTGTCATTGTGGGTAACGAATTATGTTCCACCCTCAAATCTTTCTATCTCACAGGCAGGATATGGAAAGCCTCTCACTGCTCTATTACTACTTCCATGGAAAGTGCTCGGACGAACTACATTCCTTGGATCCGCCAGTTCAGACATTCACGGCTAGGACCCGCCATGTCACTTACACATTAGCAAAGCACCCATATTCATTCTGTATTCCATCAGTGCGAAGTACGTTCCATTCGAACAGCTTCTTTCCGCGAAACAGTTCTTCGTGGAAACGACTCC